CATATATAGTAGAATAGTTAATAATAATACAAATATTTTAGCATAATTCATTTTGGTGAAGCAAATTTTAGTAAATTTGTAAATTAGTTTTTTGAGTATTGATTTCAGTATTTCAAAAAAAATTGTAGCTTCTCTACTAATATTTGGATTTGAGATATAAATCAAATCAGTTAAAAATTTAGGATATTAACTAGCTATAGTTCAGATTACATAATAAAAACTAGCTTTAAGAGCTTTTTAGTTTGCTGTTACTAGTTTGATTTCTTTGCCTGGAGTAAAGTTATATAAATAGTTTTTGAGAAGTTCAAAAACTTGAAAGATAAAGGAGTTTCAAGTTTTTAATTTTTTCCATTTCCTTGGTGATAGAAAAATGTTTAAGCTAATCAAAAAGTGCTTTAAGTTAGTTTGTTTGAGTTTGAGAATTTTCTGTTGAGTTATTAGTTGATATATCATTTAGCCTCTTGTTTTTTTCTTTAGAAACAGGAATAGAATTATTTGGATATTGTAAAGAATTATCAATATTCACATTTAAAGAGGAGTTTTCAGTAGGAGTTTTAGTAGTTTGAATAGTTTGTTAAGTAGTTAGTAATAGTGATAATATGTTAGTATGAGTTTGTGAGAGAGTTTTAGGAGATAAGTTTAGTTATTCAGTTTCAGTAGTTAAAGGAGTATTAATTTCTATGTTTGAGGAAGTATTATTTTTAGAAATAGATACTGTTAGAGTAGATAGTTTAATTTTTAGTTGAATAGTAAGTAGAACTGTTATTATAATATTAGAAATAGTAAAAAGTTTAATTTGATTCTATTAAAATATTGCTAAGAGATTTTTTGTAGTAGAAACATAATTCATTAGAGAAGTTGAAGAAGTTGCATAGATACTAGTTGTTATCAAAGTTTCAGCAACTTTAGGTATTAAACAAGTATAATAATAAGTATTATTATTTTGAAAAGTTGCATCATTGCTAAGCTTATGTTAGTTATTTGTGACTTTGCAAGAAATTGGTTGTTAGCATTTTTGATAAGAATATTGATGAGTGACTAGAGTAGATAAAAGAGGTATATTATTAGTTAATGTAGCAATACTTTGTAGTATTTTTTGAGTATTTTTGTTTTTGGTATTAGTAATGAAAGGAATAAAGTCACTTGAAAGGTTTGTTGCAAGTAGTAATAAATTTGATATGGTATTTATTATAAAGACAGAAAGTAATAGCAGTAGTTAGAAGAGCTTTAATAAAGTAAGTAACTTTGTTATTACTTTAGAGAATTTTAGTAATACAGGTTAAAGGTATACTTTTTGCAGGAATTAGGTATAGAGTAGTTAAACTTTCTTCAAAAAAAGTAATACAAAAGCTACTAGGATACTTAGTATAGAAGAAGTTCAAGTTAATAGTATCTAGTTCAGTTAAGATTAAAGTAGGTATTTTGTAGGTATTGGTTTATTATTAGAAAAGAATATTCTAATAGTTTTAGATTTTAATAATCTTTTGCAAAAGAAACAAATAGAAACAAATCAAAATTGGTTGAGTAATTTAAGATTTTTGAAAAAGCTAATAAATTTTTCAGATAACCAGTGAAATTTCTAGGTTTTGTAAGCAGAATTCTGTGATCTAAATTTGTTTGAAGTTGAGAAAAAAAGTAAAAAATCTGGGGCAAGCTAGTAAATTTTCTGAAATTGCTACAGATAAATTCTAAATAATCTACAAAAAATTAAAGAGTCTTTAAACAGGTTTTTAGTAATAATTTAATGAGTTTTACTTGTTTTTAATAAAATTTATATAAAAATGAAGCTCTGATATAGGAAAATCTAACTCTTTTAATGAACAAAAGTTGTTATATTAGTAAACTTTAAAATATTTAAGTAAATAAAAAAGGGTCTGGCACCTGTAGCTTAGTAGTTAAGCTGCCAACCCTTCACAGACAAGATCAACAGTTCAAGACTGACTGGAGGTGGAAAATATTCTGTAACCTTATTTAAGAAGTTAATGGTTGAATGCGAAGCCCCGTGAGAAGTCCAAGTGAAGTACGACATTTGGAATAGGAATTATTGGAAGTGGCTCTATCTTGTGGAGAGGTGGCACTACATGTGATAGTTGGTGTCACAAAAGTTGGTTACACAGTAGCATGAAAAAGTAAGTTTATATTGGCAAGAGTATAGCAGAAACCAATATCATTACATAGTGTAATGAAATTGCTTGGGAGGGTTACATGATAACTAACTGAGTAGTGAGAGAAGTAGGGATTACACAAGATACGATTAAGTGATAAGATATTGGTCTTACTGAATACGGAACACCTCTGCAAATACAAAAACTTAAAAGGAATGATTCCCACTGCAGAGTAGGTGGTTCATATGCTGAGGACATAAAATAATCTGAAATGGCTGGAAGCACCGAGCTGGTAGTAGCAATACAACAAAGTATACAAGGACGTACTAACATTAAATACCAACCTCTTCTGAAGAAAGCTGGAAGTAGTACTATGTATTACAAACCTAGTTGGGAGTAATCTTTGGATTACGAAATATAGCCTGTACTTACCAATACACAGGAGTTCTCAAAAAGGTATATAAACACAGTATGTAAATACAACTCGATGTAATGTAAGTGCTTTTGTGTCTCAGCATTGTGTAAATGTTGATAACAGATACCCTTAAGTTAGAATATCCAATCAGAAAGTAACTGTGAGGATCACGATGCCAAAATATCTGTAATAGATGACCACCTTTTGGGAAGTAGCTTTGTGCAAGTATGGGAGATACAGAGAATATAGTAAGAACCTTAAATGGATAAGTCGTAGTGTAACAAAACCTAGAATAATATAAATACAGGTTATAAAGTCTTAGTCAAGTATATCTCGAGGATAAATTAGTCCTAAAGTTGCATATGTAGTTAAATATATTGTAATCATTACTTGTAATTAATTATAATAAAATTTAATAAAATATACGGCCAAAGAGGTTACTTGTAAAAAAAAAAAAAAAAAAAAAAAATAATTTAAATAAATAAAAGTAAACTGGAAATATAAAATATCTCTATAAAATTTGAACAGAGAGTTATAAAACTAAACCACTAGAGATGAAATTTTGTGCTTGACAATTTTACTTAGAGGTCTAGAAGTTGTTTACTTAGTATAATTTTAAGATATTTTGAAAAAACTAAAAATAAAAATTATTTAATATCTCTACAAAAAAAGGTTCAGAAGAGATAAATTTAGATCACTCTAGAGTAAAATTTTGCTGTGAACAACTTTACTTAGTGGCCTAAGATTAGTTAACTTAATAGAATTTTAGGTAATAATAAAATGTTTGCAAGAAGTTTTGGAACAAGTAATCTATGAAAAGAGTTACTTTTTTATATAGAACAATAGTAATTTATAAATAAGTAATATAATTGTGTATACTAAAAAATAAATAAATATAGTATTCAACTATATGAATAAACTTTTACATTATTACTCTTTATAAACTAGTATCTAATAAATATTACAAGAGATCTGTTATTAAAAAGATGAAGTTTAGTAGAGGTTAGAAATAAAGAAAAGGTTTGATATTAGAAAAAAGTATGATAAAAAAGAATAGTAGATGCATAAATAATTTATATATACAAACTTTTAAGTATATTAAACCTATAGTAATATATTATAATCTCTAAATAATAAAGTCAAAAGTATATAGTAGTTAAAAATAACAAACAATTAAAAAAAAAACTCAATGATAATTAAAAAAAAGAGAGACTTAACAACAATTAAAAAAAAACTTAATAACAAATAATTAAAAAAGAGGCTTAACAATAAATAATTAAAAAAAAAAGAGACTCAATAATAAAACAAATGATCAATTAAAAAAAGAAAACTCAGCAACAAACAATTAAAAAAAAGAAACTCAAGTTTGCATATATAAGTTATTAATATATAACTAATAAGAAATTCTTACTTAAATATATAATAAGTTATATACTGTATTATTTATATTAATAAGAATAGAAATCAACTTCATTTTTATAAATATATAACCTTGCATTTATGAATTATATAGATAAGAATAAAGATATATTTATAATTAATCTAAAAGAAACATATTTATAAATTATATAAAAAATATATTCTTTAGTTGTATAGACAATAGATAATATATTTACTAATCTTATAGAAAATATATTTTTCAGTTGTATAGACAATATATTTACAAATTTTATAGAAAATACAAATCTTATAAAAAATATTTTTATGAACTATATAGAAAATATGCTTATTAACTTCAAATTTAGAATTATATCTATATATTTGTTAACTTCTAACAAAACTTACAAAGACTCTGCTCAGAAAAAAGCAATAAATTAGATCTAATAAGCTTTAGCTTAAACCTTTTTTCTATTATTTTAGAGGATTTTAATACTTCTACAACTTTTACATTTAATACTTTATCTAAAACTTATCTACTTTCCTACCTGTATAATATTAATATATATGACCTAGTAGATCATATAGCTAATTAACAAAATACTTAGCAAAATAGTAGATATAGTAGTAGAATTAATTATATTTAGATATACTATTTAACTAGAGATGTTAAGTCATCTTATTAATACAGTCTGAAAGTAGTCTAGTTCTAATCTCTGAAAAAACTACTAAATACTAGTTCAAAACTAGTAATTTAACTAGTCTAAAAATAAATTACATGTCACTGATATTTTTATATTAAATTTTGATATATCTTTATTGTTATGTTAATATGAGTAGTGATGTATAATAATTTAAAAGTTTAAAACATTATGTACTATTACTATTATTATGCAACAAACAATGATAAATTATTTGATATAAAAAAATATTTATTTATTTAATTTTTAAAAAAAATTAGGTATTTTTTTTAATAAAATAAAAACAAAATGAATGAAGCTCTCCAAATAATTGATACATCTGAAATATCCTCTAATACTAATAATATTGAAATAAGTGAAATATTACAAGTAAATGATATGTTCGAAATATCATTTTCTAGTATTAGAAATATTGAAATAAGTAAAGTTTCACATATTAAAGAAACTTTTAATAATAACAAACAAAATAATATAATTGAATCTGAACATTATAGTGAATCTGAACATTATTATTATAGTGAACCTGAATATTATAGTAAATCTGAATATTATAGTGAATTTGAACATTATAGTGAACCTGAACATAATAGTAAATCTGAATCTAAAGAACCTGTGATCAAATGATTTATGAATGCACATTCTATTTAGCAATATTTAAAGTATTCTAGTGAAAAGCTGAAATGTACTTTGTGCCAATCTAGTAATTATTATAAAAAAACAACAGAAATAAGTATAATAAAGCATTATTTTGAAAGATATTATCCTGCTGAATATAAAGAATTTCAACAATTAAAAAAAGAACCAAATAGTCAAAAAAAAATTAACAAGCTTAATAAACTCTTAACTCACTGGATTATTTGTAATCAACAGCTATTTAATACTATTAAAGATAATGATTTTAAATTATTAATTTATGAATTAGATTCACATTATAAATTACCTACATGGCAAACAATTACAAATTGTTTAGATGATATATATAAAAAAGAATGAATATATCTGCAAATACTTTTTTTAAACTTTAAAAATAAGGTTGCAATTACTACTGATACTTGAACAGCTTGTACTAATCAAGAATATTTTTCTATAACTCTATATTGAATTGATACTAATTGGAAACTATGACATATTCTTCTAGATATAATTCCTCTACATGAACAGCATATAGGTATTTATATTGCAGAAAAAATTATAGAACAATTAGAATACTTTAGGTTAAATAAACTAGTTATATCTTTTTTTTTTTTTTTTAATATTAAGATGAGGTTTTGCCTTTATCTTTATTAAAATTTGTGTGAAATTCCATAAGGAGTTTTTCAAAGTTACAAATTTATATACTAGAATTAAGACTCAGACTATAAATAGTAAACTATCTAATTTATCTGCAACTTAAACCTACTAGAGTAGTTAAAAACTCACCTAGATTTGGATATTAATGATTGTGTTAGATAGGTAGCTATATTTGGCCACAGAGTCGACCAAATATCTATTTTATATTGTGTTAATCCTAGTGGGGGATATAAGCTATTGTTATTATGTAATTGATCGGGTTGCCCATATAGATATGAGTATGTATAACCTATTTTAAAGTGGTTTGTACATGAGGAGTGTAGATAAGAGGTTTTATTAAGATATTTAGAAATATTGTTTTGCTTTTTCCATTCAGCAAGTTTGAAGCAGTAAGGTTTCCAAATCTGCTTATAAATATTATTAGAAAGTTTGAGGAAGAAGTGAGTAGTGAGTTTAGTAGCAGTTTTATAAGTATCAGTATGTGAAGCAAGTAATTCAATAAAGGTGGAGGGTATGAATCCTTGAAGTGTGGTTTCAATTGTTGGAGAGTTTTGAAAAGGTTATTGATATTGAAGGGATAAGTGAGAAGTTAGTTTGTGATGTAGTTCTTGGGTTGCTTGAGAGAAAAATCAAGTAATGCTGGCATAAAAAATTTCTGAATTGTTTGGAGTATTAGCATATGAACAGATAAGTTGTTTGGGCAAAAAATCTAATGTTGAGAATCTTCCTAATTGCTATATGATAAACAGTTATTATATGTAATCATGTTTGGATAAAGTTGATGTAAACGGAAAAGTGTTGGAAGTTCATTTAGTAAGTTTTTAATATGAAAAGATTTTTGATGGCTAAGTTAGAAAGTAGTGAAGTTAGATAATCTTTTTTGATTGTTGTTGAGAAAGAGCTATGTTGTATTCTAATTAATATATTAGAAGATAGAGAAAATATTTTGCATTTATCTTTGAGAGGACCATAAGGCTATAATATGAGAGTTGCATATATTTTTGATTAGCTTTTGTGCAGGTTGCTCTACTAGAAAGCTTTCGAACTGTAGTATATGATAGAGATTGTATATATTAGTATGGTTAAATTCAAGGAAAGGTAAGAGTTAGTGGTGTTTAGCTAGATAATCTGTATTATCATTATATGTATTATTACTATGTGCTTGTACTTTATAGAAATTAATGGTGAGATTGAATGATTTGGTGTAGTTAAGTAGAGTTACCCAAATAAGCCAATATTTTAAGGAAAGAATTTTGGATGAGATAAGTGGTTTTTTGAGGAGTTTTTATATTTAAGAATAATAGATAAAGAGTCAATATAAATTTGGATTTGGCTATTACGAGGGCAAGTACTAATAGCTGATAAAATTGAGATTAGTTCAGCTTTGTAGGAAGATGGCCAAAGTTGAATTTGTGCAAAAAATTTGTGTAAGATCTGGTCATCACCAACTTGAACCTACCCAATACCCATAGAGCATTGGTTAGTACAAATGTCAATAACAGATCTATCTGTATAAAAAACAAATTGTTGTTGGTTATAATTTTTTTGGTAAATAGATTCAAATTGTTGAGTGATTTCACTAGAATTGAAAATCATCAAAATTGAAGATGAGGTTATTTGTAAAGTTGGAAGAGGAGGAATAGTAGCAAAGTTACAAAGAGCAATTGAGTATAAAAGGTTAAAGTAATTTGCATTAAGTTTAAGTTTGTTGGAAAGTTCTTGGTATGTTTTCCGACCAAGAAATTTTGTTAAAGATGTAGCTGAAACTTCAAAAGTACATGAGCTAGTTACTTTTCCTGAGTTTAGACTGCAACCTTGACAAGAAAAACATGTTGGGTTAGAGTATGGATATAAGTTAGAGGAGTCAGAGTTTGGTTGTAATATCTAATGTGTAATAGATACAGTATTCTTATTAAGAAATAGATGTCAAGCTTTGCTAATAATAACTGTTGTTAATAATAACAGGTAGATTATTAGCCAAGATTTAGCCCTTATGCTAAAATGGCTAGTTGTATAGGCTAGAGAGTTATTAGTTAGTGGCTGAAATTGGTTAGAGATAGCTCTAGTAGAGGTATGTTTCAGTATTATTGTTTCTAGAGTTGTGAACTACTTAGGTTTACAGCCTTTAGGTAAATAGTTTAGTCTAGAAGAAATATGAGTTCAGTCTAAAAGTGTATAATTGTCAGCAGATGTTAATTGTTCAAGAAATAATATTTGCTTTGTTCGTAGTTGATGTTTAAAAGAATTATAAAGATT